TCTAAGAAGCGCTATCCAGAAATTCTGGGGAAGGGTGCAACAATATTTGATAGTATAATACCTAGATAATTTTGGTTCACAGTAAAGTTTGAGAACTGAGAGCTTGGGCAAAATCCTATGATATTTAAATCTGAGCAGTAAGAACATTACTTATCAGTATTTGCTCCTCATTGGAGTCACACTCAGATGGGGTTGAGGAATAATGCTTAGTTCTGTGCACAGAGGTTGAATTACTTAACATGAGTACAGTGCAGCATCATAAGATTATTACAGTTTGCTGTAAAATTTGATAATTACAAAAATGATACATATTACTGATTTTGAGGATATGTACATATTTTGGTTTAAAAAGAGTTAATAAGAGTAATTTTATGTTGTACTCACTTTCAAGATTGAAAAAGGTATTTACAAGAGATTTCCTGGTCTTCACAGGGTGAAGCATTAACAACACCCTTTTCCATCTGGAAAGTGTGGGCAACTTTCTAAATGTATAAACTCTGATTCTGAGATCCATTTGTCCTCTCATTAGATGCTGCTCACACTCCTACATTTGATTATTTTGTAATCTGGCTCAACAAGGCAGTTGAGAAATCAGACTGAGATGCACTTGTGAAAGTCCCTCAGAAATAACTTTTAGTTTAGCCTTAATGGTTTTCTAATTTGGGAACCAATCATCTGGATAAATGCCAAATTAACTGGATAATTGCTCAACCCTGCACCTCACTTCAATTGGACCATCAGTTGCTTGATGTTGCTTGAGTGTCTTGATAGTGTCAGATGTCCTCTCCCAAGCGGGACAGGAAAATTCCCTCAATGGTACTTCCTTAAGATATAGTGCAATAATGGTTGCCAGTATATATTTTATGTAGCAGATTTTTAAAAAAGAATTGCCTCAGGACAGAAGAATCTTGGAAAATTCATGTCATATCCAAAGATGTAGATGACTTTCTCACTGGTAGCTTTTTCTACCGCACAAGGTTATGGTTCTGTATTACACTAATTGCATTGCCCTTTATAGTTCAAGAAAATTGGACAAAGTACCCAAGCATCTTTGTTGGCACAGTAACTTGTTCTCTGTCTGTTTTCTGGCCTCTGATACTGCGAATGTTGAGTATCTGTCACCTCCAAACTCACCTCTTCTCTGGGAAATTGATTTCCAGAGATTGGCTACATTCTTCACCCTATCTTTGAGCATTTCCATCTCCCTTCTAGGACCTCATCTCTGCCTCCAATGGAGCAGTCCAGGGGATAACTGAAATATTTGCTTAAATAAAACCAGCATCCTTACCTCAAGGTAAAAATAATGCTGATATACAATTTGTATTTTAAAAATCTTCCCTCCACCACACACCTGGGCTAGAGTTCACTTAATGACATACTTATCGCTGCTCACTGCTTCTCCTTGCCTATTCTTCTCATCTTATGGATTTCCCCCAAAGAACACTGCACTAATGCTTAGTGCTATATGATCTGTGGCCCTGCTCTAAGAATTAGGGTATCCTCTATATCATAAAGATCTCCATTGCATAAACATTCTATATAAAACATAACAGAGAATCGCACATTTTGGAAATTCATTGAGCAATCCTTCCACTTTGTGAACATGAGTAGAAGTTATTACATTAGGGATGTAGACAGTTACCATTAGTTTTAAAATGGTATAGTTAACATCCAGGTTTCCCCATAATTTCAGGATTTTACCCACTTAAATTCCAATCTACTTACAGGAGTCAAAGGGAGGGATGGAATTATGTTTATCACTTGGAGATTGTATGCAGCACCTCAAGGAAGCCCAGGGATTATGTCCCCCCAATAGAATCTTATCATGAAGTTTCTAGAGGAAAAAAAGACTTGGAGGATGGGTAGGATTGCTCAGTGGATGAAGACAGTTGCCTCCACACCTGATTACCTAAGTCATAAAAGAAATAGATGAAATTGCAGCTTAAAATGGAAAATATTTGGATAATTATTTTTTAAAAGGTAAGTTATAATTGGTCAGTTACAAACCAGGACATCTCTATACCATGCTACCTCAAGGTAAAACTCTTTCCATGCCCTATGAGCAAAACATCCAAATCCTTTCATTAATTATTCAACAGTTTCAATCCATTAAAAATAGACATGTTACAAATGCATTAAATATCCACACAGAACACATAAAGCCTGGCCATGGGAAAAGCCGATTAAGTATATACTTCCTAGTCATGTCTTATTCATGATGTTAGGGCTATTATCTAGCATTAAAGGGAATCTCCTCTACAGCACTGAGGGACCCTAATATTTCATCAATAGCCAAAGTCAGCATAGTTTTTTATTCCCTATTGAAAAGTTCTCTCTCTCTCTCTCTCTCTCTCTCTCTCTCTCTCTCTCTCTTTAGCCTCACAATTGTAACACAGGCAATAAATAGAATATGCAAGCCAAAAGACTCAGACTATCATTATTCTGTGAGGAACAGCATGTCTTGTGGAAAGAAAGACTGTTATAGCTTACGATAATTAAGCAATATCAATCTTAGTTGCATTTTTAAAGATCAAATGCCTTCTCCCTTGAGTGAGACTTGAGGGACCTACCCAATGAACACATAAATGCCTTTAAATAACTCAAAATACATAATGTGAGAGGTTTGAAAAGAAAAATGGGTTCTTAAGGATAGGGCTTGTAAATTTATTGTTTAAGAATTTCTGAAATTGTTCATTAATAATATGTGAGCTTTATATCGCCAGGTAAAATTATATATATATATATATATATATATATATATATATATGCTTTAGGCACATGAATCAATTATTTTAAAATATATTCAGAATTCTATATTCACAGGAAATTGTCATGGTACTTTGTGATTTCAGGCCATTTTACTCTGGTCCGCCATAGTCTCTGTCTTTTTTCTGTCTGTATTTTTCAAATCCAACTTGTGTAAGACTCAGCTGTCACATCTTGCTCATCCACCAAACTCCTCCTCTCAGCTTCCACCAATCCTGCTTCCAATGCTAGTTGGCCTGTGTCTTTACTGAGATGCCATTGTGGTCCTCATGGTAAATGTGGCTGAAATCGGATGGCTAATTTCTTCTTAGCAGTTTTTATCCTCACTCTTCAGGTTCTGACCTGAAGGTGTCTGTGCTTCCAGAAATCTTGACTTGAAGTCGTAACACCCAAGATGATGGCATTACAAGGTGGGGATTTAGGAATATAACCATGCCTTGAAAATGAAGTATTCATGAATTTATCAGAGGCCTGCCACACACAACTTGAATAACTCCCTGAACTCTCAGAAACTTTTGTCTTCGAAAGGTCTAACCTAAAGTCAGCAAGAAGAATAACTGTGGAGACTTTTCCTTCCTTCCTTCCTTCCTTCCTTCCTTCCTTCCTTCCTTCCTTCCTTCATATAGGTTGGATGATAATCGACTCAGATTATACTTCCAGATGTAAGCTCTACATGGTATCATGAAGGGCAGCCTTCAGTGGGAGATTCAGGACTTCGAGATTGGAAAAGCTATTGGGTATGTGAATTGCTCTCATTCTGTGCTGTTTTCCTCATATTCCTTATATTATGGTTAAGTCAAGTACTATTGAATAGACTAAATTAAAGGTGATGGTGAAATAATTTATAATTGTTTTGGTGGCTTTTATGCCATTATATTACCTTTCTACTAGAAACCGTTAAATTTAAGAACTTTCTGTGGGATATATGCTTTCCTGGATTTAAAAAATATCCACGATTACATTAATCAAGTATTCAACCATATATTTACTGGCACATGAATCTGTTTTCTGAAATGATATCTTAATACCCTCATTCACTTAGCATCCTTATTCATTAAGTATTTATTGAATACCTACCATGTACTTAACTATTTCATTCAGCTCTGAGGATACAATTATGAATGTTGACATCATGGGGAGATTAAAATGCAGTGTAAGAAAAAGGGATGATCACATCAAAGTATAATACACTCCTGGCCTCTGTTCTTAAGGAGACAAAGGTAAAGGGCAGTACAAAATTCAGTAATGGGAGGACTGATCTCAGCATGGGGCTTGCAGTAACTACATGAAGAAGCCATCTTGGGGTTTGGAGAATGGGACAGAAAACCCCTGCAGGCAGAAGCAGTGTGTTCCATTAGCCTGTGGGAAAACTGTATCCCCAGCACCAAATACCACAGTAAAGATCACAGTTAGCATTTGATAAGCACTGAATGAATATAAGAATAAATGAAGGTATTAAGTGAATAAAGAAGTTAAGAGATTGTCTCAGAAAATGGATTGATGGGGGCTGGAGAGATGGCTCAGAGGTTGAGAGCACTGACTGCTCTTCCAGAGGTCATGAGGTCAATTCCTAGCAACCACATGGTGGCTCACAACCATCTGTAATGAGATCTGGTGCCCTCTTCTGATGTGTAGACGTATATGGGGGCAGGGTGTTGTGTTTGTAATAAATAAATAAATCTTTAAAAAAAAGAAAATGGATTGATGAATTAAGTAATTAATAATTAAAGGCAAAACATATAGATCAGAGAGGTCAGTTCCAAAGGGAAGACATAGAACATCAGCAGACCATTAGTGCACAGTCTGGAAAGTTCAGACAGGGAAGAACAATGATCATGCTGCAAGCTCTTCAAATTATCCTTTCCAATCCAAGTCAGCTCTACTCCCTCCAAGCTGAAGTTGTACCCAATCAGAATGATCACATCAGACGTGTTTCAGGAACTTAGTGCAGTTGAGAAGTGTGTGGTCTGTAGAGGAATAAAAATCGACTGCCAATGGAGCTGTGTTAGCTGCTGTAAGCATAGAGGAGGCCCGTTTAGAAAGTGGTCTCTTCCTATTACTTGGAGGCTATATGACTTGTTTGTAGAACATCTTCAAACCTAGTGATCTCCTTATACATTCTCTAGGACTGGTCATTTGTGGCTCACAAACACACTTGCTACTTTGGTGGCTTAAAAAGTTGGTTTACTTCTTTCCTATATATATATATATTTCTTTCCACTATAAAGACTCACCTATTACACTAAGCTCAGCGCTGGAAAAGATAACTCCATGTTTATTCTCTGCCACACACTGGTACATGCCAGCATCTGAGAGATTCACTGTTGTTATGTTGAGTGTTCCTTGCTCGATTTGTATTCTATCCTGTGAAAGAAAAGAGGAATATAAAAATAGTGACCTTCTACATCTGAGAGCTTAAGGCAATTTTGTTACATGCTATGTCAAGAGGGCTTAAGGGGAGGAAAAATAGTCATCATGTAAGCCATTTACATTAACATGATCTGCTTATCTGTCGAGTAAATCTGTGCCAGGTCAGATGGCAAATGGAACCCGCAGCATATCAGTTGGTAAATGGAATTTAAATTGTAGGATTCTCTTGCATTTGTGTCGACTTAATAATGAAGTCATTCAGATGAATATGCCCTGTAAATAAGTGAACTTGACCTTGAAAGATGAAGACCTGTTTTATTCTATGGCTTTGTACTAACTGGGGAAAGGAGAGAAAAATACATCAATTTTACCATTTAGAGTTTAGACCTCTTAATTTACCACCAGGCTGGCCTTCAATAGCTGATAGGTTATAATCTTAGATGGACCTTCACAAATTTTTACTAAAGGCTGAGTTGACAAAAAAAGAGTAGGAGCTAATAATTCAATATTCTTCCAGGCATGGTTGTAGCACATGCCTTTAATCCCATCACAAGGCTGCAGAGGCAGGGAGAGGTCTTGAGGCTGAGGATAGGATGGTCTATATATGAGTTCTAGGCTAGCCAGACATACAAAGTGAAAACACATCTCAAAAATAAATCAATTTTTGCTTTCATTGTGATTATTTACATGTATAACCTGCTATGAGTCAAGACAAGGAAGCAAAGGTAGTAGGTATATATGACAAGAGAACCTTCTCATGTGTCAAACTGAAGTCATATAACTTGTGCATGAATCTCTATTTCACTAGGTAGTTCCTCTCTCGATATTACACACACATACACACACTCACATATACACACCCACACCCACCAGTGAACACAAAGCCTCAGAGGAAAAAAATCCTTTCTAGTTGAATGGATAATTTATTAGACTTTGATCAAGGCATCCTTGTCCTCTCACATTTCATAAAGAGTGGAACATGCCAAGTGCCTGGGAACCTTCATACTAGCAATTCTGAGGGCTGATGAACCAGAGGAGCCTTCCAGGGAGTTGAGGGTGACCATGAGTTTGGGGTGGGCAGAAGAAATTATTCCCTTAGTCTTTCAGTTGTCCAGGGTGGACACTTTTTCTTTGCCAGGTGCACTATTTAGGGAAGAAAGCTGAGAATGAAAACTGACTCTCAATGTGGATTCATTTAACATTTGATATTTCATAGGGAAAAAATAAAGAACATTAAATTGGACATAATTGTTCCTCTGATTTCTTTTGGAGAGTCACTTTACATTTTGATGGTCATCCTTGTGTCTTATCAATACTTTTTCTCTTGAAATAGATGCTGGGATGTCACTTTCTACATATCTTAGCAAAGTCAAAGTCCAGACATTCTGTGAGGCTTTCTTACTGTGAAGCTAGCAAAGTGTTAATCTGTGCTACAAAGGTCTGAAGTAGAAGTTTAACAAGATTTGTTTAGAATTCATTTTTATCAACACATTCCCTTTTACTTTTTCTACTATTAACAGAATTTAGTTGCTTTTTATTTTGGAAACAACTCAACATTTTTCTGTTTCCATGGCAATGAGGCCACAGTAAACATTGTATTACATTAAGGCACAATTACCATCAATTTACTTACCCGTGTTAACAGTGGGTCACCGTTTTTTAGCCACCTGTAAGTAGGCTTGGGCCTCCCATTTGCTTTACATTCCCAGAACACACTCTCTTCCATGGCCACGTGGATGTCATTTATTTTTTGAACCCAATTAGGTTGAGCTATAGAAGTTCGAAAAACAGACAAAAAAGAGGCATATAATCACTGTATAGTCAATTTTTTAAAATTCTAATGAATTGGAGATTAAAATGGGCTTTTGATCAAATTCCTTTTCTATAAGACATACAAGTAATAAGGGTAAGATATTTAAGGAAAATGTATGCACTTTATGAACACAATGTTTCTTACCCATATTATTGACCTTTTTACACTAAAGGCAGACTTGACAAAACTTTTATTAACGATGGGTTAAATTGTTCTTGGCCCTTAAGTATTGTTATTATTGTGTTTTCCATATGAGAAAACTTCGAGGACCACTGAACCAACCACCTTTGGATTAGGTCATGAATTCCTTCTTACCTACAGTTTCATTAAGAAGTAACCATGTGACTAATTTCCTACCAGTTGGTCACTAATCAAAGTTGAGAGGGCACCCTCAGATGCTTCTCTTGAGCCTTGCCCTTTTGCATTGATTGGAAAGTGATAAAAATCTTTAACAGACTTGGGAATAGAGATGACATTAATATAGGGATGGAATTGGCTATCTTGGCCCTTGAATGCAAAGCAATGCAGTAGTGAGGGCTACTTGTTTATTTTTCATAAAAAAATTTGAGATGAATGAGCTTCTTATTTAAGCACTTGTAAGCTGAGTTTCCTTGTGGGGACACCAGACCTTGTTCAGAAACCCACCCCTCCATCAGCCTGGGAGCAGGCAGCTGCCAGACAACGTTTACTGAAAACATGTTTACTGAAAACAATTCAGTGCCATAAGCTCCTGATAGGGCTCCCATAAGGTCTTGCTCACTGAAACACCATGACTTTGATCTTCCCTACTGGCTAGCTACTCCCTTCTGTTTTCTGATTCTGGTGCCCTGAGATTTAACCACCAGCCAGGAGGGTGAGAGGTCTGTGAGAGGAGTGTGAGAGGTCTGTTGGATTTTTGTGAGTGTATGGATGGCAGAAGTTTTTCTAAAGGGAAGCATTTTTCTTGGGAAGTTCTCCTAAGCCGATTTGGGGAGCATAAAGTTTTCTTAACACAACCGACGAGTCTCTGTGTCATCAATCCTCGCCACATTCTCGGATACAGGCTGCACAGGAGGTGCGACATTTCCTTTCATTAAAACAGATTATCTCACCTCTTACTAACATATTTCATTCTCATTGGTTCCACAGACACATTGTGTAGCCCTTATATGTCCAATGAGCCATTATTGACATTCATTATGTGCTGATCCCATATTAGAAGAATTCTAGCTGTATGATCCTTAAAGCTAACATTTTTGAGTAAGCCACTGATTTAACAAGCCCTTTTGGAAAATCAAATTCTGCCCAGAATCTCGCATGGAAATTCAAGGCAGCATTAAATTCTCACATTTCATAATACTAAATACTGCCTCAGTTACCCACATTATACCATGTTTTTCATGGTTCTGTTGAAGGCACATTTTGCTCTCCTATGATATATAGCCAATGTTTCATAAAAACATTTATAAATATCAGTTCTTGCCTACAGTGCAGTTTATGCTTTTATCTTCACAGTTATGTTTATTGGTAGAAGACCTTTAGCTAAAACTCCTGTAGAAAATAACCTCAGTTATTATTTGAGGAAGTTACTTGTTCATGGGACATTTCTTCAGGATAATAACTTCTGATGTTAATAACCAGAGTTGGTACCATTATTAATTAGAAGATATTACTCGATATTCCTAACATGTCTTTTAGCTGACTTGACCTCCATATATCCATTCAGTGAGGTTTCAAGTCATGGATAATTTAATTCAAAAGGAAATTGGTGATGTGAAGGCTAAGCTGTGTATCTTACCATTTAAATAATAAACAAAAATAGAAAAACACTCAATGAGTCCCTTAACCAGCAGAGGTCTCTAGGTTCTTGACTAAATGCTGTTTTCTTCTTTTCCACCTACAAGCAATTCCATGTTTTTCAAAGAGAAAACACAATTTTGCAAACCCTCTCCTGATGGAGATGATGCATGGCTGCTTAAGAGGGGAGGCCAAAAGGGTCAACTTCAAAAAAACGTTACAACATCAACAAGCATTAGCTTGAATGAAGGGTTATAACCTGCATCTTTGAAAGAGCTGCAAGTTGGCTGCTGTCCTCTATCATCCCACTGCTAATGGGGAGGGAAGCTCAAGAGGTAATATCTTCCCTGAGGTCAACTGGGAGAAGCCAGTGTGCAACTTCCTTAGGACTAATGGCCTAGTCTGCCAGATATGCAGTCAACCTGCAGCATATTCACCCCCTGCAGAGTCTGGGGGAACAAAGCAAACAAGAAAGGCACAGAAATCTGTGGAATATTAACAAGAGGAAACTTCTGGAAAAGAGCTTAGGAAGAGAAAGCAAAACAAGAAAGGACAAATGTTACTTAGGAAGCAATGTCAAGTTGAAGTTAAAACGGGAAACTTCACAAACACATACAGAGACAGATTTCAATGTCACCCATTCCCTACAACACTTGGTCTCATTCTTTCAAAACTCTAGAAAGCTGGAAGTCAAACCTTGCCATCTCACAAAGGTGCTGGGGTAGGAAAGGGGGGCTCTGAAAGGCGTTTGAAATGATCTTGCAAATTTTAAACTAATTAGATATTTCTGAGGGCTCATTCTTTCTCTTGCAGTGGGGTCAAGGAGCTCAACAGGAATGGACAATTTGTTCTGGCAGAGGTGACATTCACAACTAATTTGCCTAATGGTGAACCAATTTGGTGTCTGACAACAGTCATCAGGTACTCTCTCTGCTTGCAAAGTGAAAACTGTTCACAGGAGCCAAATTAACACAATGGCAATTACTCCTTTTGAGGTGAGTAACTACACAGCCAAGTGAAGAATGTAGTGGCTGGGAGAAAAGAGATAGCTTAGCTGGGAAGGTGATGGCTACATAAGAGTGAAGACCCGAGTTCAACATTTAGGGCCCATATATATAGACTGGGCATGAGACACATGGCTGCAATCCCCACATAGGGAGGCAGAGACAGGTATATTTTGGGGGCTCACTGGACAGCTTGCCTAAGTGAATTAGATACAGTGATAGGCATGTCTTTGGGGTTCACTGGACAACCAGTTTGCCAGCTCAACAAACTTGATGAAATCTTGTCTTAAAATTCAACGTGGCTGGCATCTCAAGGAATGATACTTGAGGGTTACCTTTGATTCCCCCCCCCCTCTCTCTCTCTCTCTCTCACACACACACACACACACACACACAAACACACAAACACACACACACACAGACACACATACACAATCAACCTATTATACGTGGGCAAAGAATGAGATAGTTTGCATTTTAATGTGCCAGTTCCCGATCTACAAGGCAAAACCACACATCACCACTGTCTTCACTCACACTTATTTATGTTGGGTAAATCACATCTATTATAATTGGGTTATTCTTCCTTTCTATACAAAGTCTTGTGCTTAAGAGATGCTTCATAGGTGTCTATATGCTTTTGGGCCACCAAGTTAAAAAATCTTTGGATGATGCATTTTAGAAACTACCATTCGTATAATGCATTAGAGTAGATGGTATTTATAGTGTATTATCAAAATTCAATGATAACATTCAACTCCTTGGCTCATACATAAACTCACAGAAGCCTACATGTAAGAACTGTTACATTACAACATTTCCTAAATACTCTTTTTTGAGCTCAAGCATCAAAGAAAATTAAATAAACTCATACCAAAAACAAATAAGTTTTGATCTTTTGCATTCTTTCATGTTTTGTCTCAAGTCACAAGTTCAAATATAAGATTAAATAGCTGTGCTGGGATTTGACCCTGTCATACTGTTCATCTTTTGACAGATGAACAATCTATTCATTTCAATCTTTTGTTCAATAACTGCCAGAAATGACCTAAATCAAGGTTTGTATATTCCAGCCACTGGAATCAAACAAGCCTCTTATCCAATAATAATTTCTATTTCAAGCAAATATAATTTGAACTCAAGGGGTCAAACAATTCTCAGACATATCTGGCTCTCTTCATTCCTACAAACCAGAAATTTATCACAAAAACAAGAGCAAGACTTGGCCATAAACCTTGGAGTTTTACATATCTAAGAGAAAGGGCATCATTGGCAAATCCTTTATGAAACCTTTGCAAAATTGACCTACAGATATTAGCAATTATTTTGGTTATCACTGTACAAACTTCTACCTTTACTCACCTGTGATGAACTTCCATCCAGTACCCACACTACAATGACCGTCATTCTTTCAAAGTAAGTTCTACAAGGACTAGGGGTTCTCAGAAGAGAGTGAATTCAAACAGAACAGGCTTGCTTTGTTTTAAACAGTAAACATTTCTTGTCCCATTTCATGTAAAATATGACTAACCACACCCATATTGAGAAACACTACACTCACGAGAAGAGTTTTGGGGTGCAGAGGTTGAATACCCATGTTTTCTTCTTGAGCTGGGACAAAGATGAACACATGACACTATAAAACTCCCTCTGACTTTCAAATGTGAAGCCTTAGATTCACATTGCTTTCTCAACATTTTTTATTTATTTTCAATTTTGTGTCTGTGTGTCTATGGGGGTTGAATGTTCATTTACCTAAAGGTGTCCACCAAGGTCCAGATGCATTGGATCCCCCTGGAACTAGAATTGCATGTATTTATGAGCCTCCAGATGTGGGTGCTGGGAACTGAATTCAAGTCCTCTGTAAGAACATCACATGCTTTTAACTGATGAACCATCTTTCTAGCCCTGTACATTACTCTTTAAACCAATGGGATTCATGCTTCTTGTGGCCTTCTATTTTTTTTGTCTTATTTACACATTCTTATTTCTGGTATTCTCATTTTATATGACCCAATTGATTTTTTTCTAGTAAGGACAAAGGAGAGGCCTCTGAGCCAACACTTTTGCAGATAGCATTGACAAACATAAAAATCCACCATAGTGTGAAGCTGGAAAGATGGCTCAGTGATTAAGAGCACTTGTTTTTGTAGAAGACCTGGGTTTGGTTCTTAGCA